GCTTGTCTCCCCAACAGGAAATCTTGTTTTGTTCAATGAGGCTCAGTCTGTAATAAATACCCTTCAGCTTGTACCCGTAGTTGCCATTTTATAATACACGATTCAAAATCTATATGCTGCTGTCATAGAAAATATTGTTTATAAAATTGAGATTCTGCAGAACATCTGTGGGCTTATTTGTGAATAAAGAAAAGCACTTCAGAACATCCTAGAACACCAAAAAAGAACATACTGTTTACCATACAGTTTACCTAAGAAAGATTACACAAACACAGCATATGAAAATTAAAAAGTATATTATTAACTGCTTAGAATTACGTATATCCTGCCATTTCAAGGTGGCATATAAAAGATGTTCTTGAGCATCTATCAGATATTAAAGGTGGCATCTTTCTCATGGTTTATCATCCCAACAAACTGTGGGATAGGTTGGGCTGAGAGATACTCACCCATAGCTCTTGGAATCTTCTCGGTCCCAGTTCAAGATTCTAACTATTAGCCCATATTGATGCAATATTACTTAAGATGCCCACCCATAAGTTTGCTCACTTAGAACATACTATTGGGTTAAGTGGAACTAGTGTGGGAATAAACATAAGATTTCTGGGTCATTGCTTGTGGCCCATTGTCATGCTGCTGCTGCTGCTGCTATTATTATTATTACTATTTTGCCTTCAAGTCAGTGTTGACTCCTGGTGACTGCCCGGACAAGTCCCTGCAGTTTTCTTAGCAAGGTTTTTCAGAAGTGGTTTGCCATTACATTCTTCCTAGGGCTGAGAGAGAAGGACTGGCCCAAGGTCACCCAGCTGGCTTCATGTTGAAGGTGGGACTAGACCTCATGGTCTCCTGGTCTCTAGCCTGATGTCTTAACCACTACAGCAGACTGGCTCTCAATTGTCATGAATATTGGATAGATATTTATAATCTGTTATTAATGTTGACAGCCTTTCGGATTAGACAATAAAAAACATTCAATATAGTCACTATGTAAAGAAAATGAGTATTTGACATAAAATGTTAAAGCAAAATCATCCAAAACTATTTTGAATATTAGTCAGAACTATTTCCCACCCTTTTCCAAGTAGAGGCTATCCGTACTACGAATTTATAGCATCATTCAGCCATCATTATAGTGATATATTTTTAATGCAGACAGGCTTTATATCGGCACAGTGATGCCTGGATAATGCTATAAATTACTTCTGTAGTCAGCCTGCCTGTCACTATAGAATATATGGTGTTATTCCACTTTATCCTTGCAATTGTGTAAATAAAATTTGTCTCAGAAATAATGATTCATTGAAAAATATCTAATATTTGTTATCATTCATATGAAATGCGCAGATGAAAATATGGGTGAATGTTTTTTTCATTTTCTAACTTAAATGTCAGTTGCTTTAATGTTTTCTGCACTGTTAGAATATTTTAATGCATCATTAAGCCATAGTATAGTAGTTATAGGAATGTGGTCAAAGATGGTAAGTATTAATTTAATGGCCATGTTCCTAAAAAAAAAAGTGGCTGCAATTTACAGTTCAATTGTTATTTGCAAACACATCTCTGCATCTTTTTCTTGTGGTTCTTCCTCCACTGTTCCATTTGTTCTTATTATTATTGTGGTTGGTTGCACAATCAGCCAGATGTTTAGACTGGATTTGGCATTTTTATCCACCTATCAACTCCTTCCCAAGGA